CATTTTTTTAAAGACTTGCTTAACGAACGACGTTTCGCATAACAAGTGGCGAGGAGAGGGGAAGTCCAGAATTGTGCGCATGTTACATCAGTGTTTAGCACTCGTTCCAGTAGCATCGTAGTGTCGCTTGTGATCACACATTTTCTTAAACTTGTGTTATATTGTGATATATGTACATGAATCCTCCAGGCCTACAAGATGACAACTCTGAAGAATTTAAGTTCATCAAGATCCAGTTTCTGCCTCCCGACACCACTCCGTTACTCCAGCCCATGGACCAGCAAGTTATTTCTAACTTTAAGAAGCTCTACACTTAAGCACTCTTCGAGCATTGTTTTCAGGTGACTGAAGACACCAACCCCACTCTCAAAGAGTTTTGGAAAAAAATCACTTCCACATCGTTGCCTGCCTCAAGATGATCGACAAGGCAAGGGAATGGGTTACAAAGAGAACCCTAACTTCTGCTTAGAAGAAGCTTTGACCGGAGAGCATTGTCAATTTGTGACTTTGAGGGGTTTGAGATAGTACCAGTGGAACCTGTAGTCAACGAGATTGTGTCTTTAGCCACTATCATTGGATTGTAGGTGGAAAACAGGGATATCGAATAGCTTGTGGATGAGCACATCCAAGAGCTGACCACCCAAGAGCTTATGGAGTTGCATTGTGTTTTACAGCAAGAAGTTTTGGAGGAAAGTTTGTCAGAGGAGGATGTATCAGAAAAGCAACAATCTTCTGGCGAAAAAAGAGAAATGCTGAAAGCATGGCAAACTGTTGCATCTTACATTGAGAAGCATCACCCTAATAAGGAAGTGGCTATGCGCGTTGCAAATTTATTTAATGATAATGCTGTGTCGCATTTTCGCCCTATTTTGAAGCGTCGGCAAAAATAAATGTCTCTGGACATCTTTCTAGTTTAAAAAAAAAAAAAAAAAATTAGCTATGTATCATAATTATTTCGATTTTTTTCCCTGCAAATCGAATTCGCATTCCAGGTGGGTTCGTTCCGCGTTTGAAGAAGAGTTGAAGATGATTCACTCTGTTTAACAATATGTATATATAATTTTCTTTGAATACACGTTATACAAAGCATTTTGTGAGTATTTTTTCTACATATTTTACATTAATTTATGTGAGAAAAATTGTTTCGCGTAACGAGTGTTTCGCTTAACGAGTATGATTCTGGAACGAATTATGCTCGTTAAGCGAGAATCCACTGTATACCCAAATAACTGATTTCAAACGATCCTTGCTAATCTTCTTCTTCTGCCTTTTTATCCCCCAATGGAGCATAGGCCCTCAACCAACTCACGCCAAGTCGTTCTATCCTTCGCCATTACATGGAGCTCTCCCCATGTCCTCCCAATCTTTCTAACCTCATTCTCCAGCTCTCTTCTCCATGTGTTTTTTGGCCTTCCTTTATTCCTATGCCCCTGTGGGTTCCATTGTTCTCCCTATATCATAGAGAGTTCTAACATTCCAGGTGCCAATTCTGGAGGTGTTCCTAGCTGAGAGGAGGTAAGTCAACGATCCGGACTCCTTACGGCTTTCTCCACACCGTGTCATACTTCTTCTATTTGAAGAGCCTCCCCTCATCTTGGTTGGCTGGAGTTTATTTGCTTCTCTTTTTGACTTATCCATGGTTGGTTGGTTTTTGTGGCTATGGTTTTTACAGGATGAGGTAGCCAACCTCACGCCCAACCCTACCCTTAGTCGCCTTTTACGACATGCCTGGTAGGGTGCAGTGTCACTATTCTTTGCTTCCCGTGAGGGCCCCGGTGACACACGGGCGAATCCTTGCTAATGATAAAGCTATAATTTTAAGTTTTACTCCATCTTGCTAAAGACAGCCTTTGCCTTAAAATTTTCAGTTCTAGTCTCTAGAAAGTTGGTTAGTTAGTTAATTAGTTAGTAAAGTAAGTTAGTTAGCTGGATTATCATCATTACACTCCGGACATGTCCATAGGTGCTCAGGACCTCCTTTCAGTATGACCTTCAACGTCCGATTGCTAATAGTACCAGTTCTATGTTGATTAACAAGTCCTCTGGTGTGAGTCTCGTTTTTTGCTATGCCGATCTTAACCCCCAAGTCTATCATTCTGCCGAGTGTTGTAGGTTCTCTGCCCCCAAAGTCCTCCACTGTTTCCAATTCTCAGAGGGCATTAATAATATCAGCATGATCCATATAAAGTTGTTTCTCTTGGTTTTACTGTTACAAGATTGTTGTACTGATTTACTTGTGTAAGGACTTCCCTAATGAGAGGGTATGCAATTTTCTGTTTCTTCCTGCTTGGAGATGACCATAATTTGTTATGGTCCAATTTAATTATAATTGTCATACTTATTGTGTAAGTAAAGCATCAATGGTTTAGATATATTATGTTATATAAATCCTAGTTTGTTTTGCCCTGGTTATCTTAAATGTCACTACTTTCCGATTGTTTAAATCTTTGTTTCGTTTTAACATGTCGGTGTATTTTCAGTATTTCATAGTATAATATATTGTATTCTAAGTATTTGGTGTCAGAGCCTGCTATCTGTATTTCATTATTTTATACTCATATGCTCAATTTTGTTTCGCCAGGTCATGAGATCTCACAAATAAATGAATGTGTAAAGTTTCTCCTTGACTGGGAACTGCTTTTGTGACGACTTACTTTTGTTACGTGTTATCCTAGCACAACGGTGGATCCAGCAGTGCTCCGTCCTGCGATGCAGCAAACGTCTCAGCGTCTCCGTCAAATATTTTGTAGTTTATTAGCATAATTAATAGTGTAGTAAATAAAAGTAAAAGGGCCCTTTTCCACGCCTTTAGGTGTACAGGGCACATAGGGCTAGACCTATACTTTATAGACCAATCGGTACAAGATGGATGATGTGGTCAGCATCACGCCGGCTGCCTTTACTTCACGAGACTGCACCCGGTACCCACTCAAGGCTGGGACGACCTGGAAGCCAAGGTCATTTTTGAAAAAAGTCCGGCTCCTCCAGGAAGCGAACCCACGCCCTTCCGATCAGCAGGCGAAGTGTAGTAGATACAAAAAAATGAATTTACTAAATTTAGACGAACTTTAGAGTCAATATCGCACGAAGTGTAAGCATCATCATCATCGTCGTCATCATCACCATCACCACCACCACCATCACCAGCCACCAAGACAGTTTATGTAAGTGCACTAATCCCTCTCATACCATGGGGTCAAGCCAGATTTACTTCATTGTTTCCCCTTGCTCGTTTCTCCAGCAATTTAATCAATGATCACACCAAGTTTGCACATGTGTTCCCTCCAGTACCATGTTGAACAATCTCCAATGTGTTTGTTTCATTTTCTAATCAGAGGCGTCGACACACAAGAGAATACATGAGCAGCACGGGTGGGAGAAAGGCGCTAATAAGTTTATTCAGGGGCTTGGGGGGGGGGGGGGGCTGTGGTGTTGAGTTCTCGAGAAGTCTGAGCATTTTTTTTTACGCAGTGTATGGTAAACAGGTATTAAGATAAACATTTAAATGACGTGAGCTCATCTGCTGGTGTTATCAGTTAGTTAACGGTTTTCTTCTGTCTCAACAGCCTACAATATGCTTTGCATTTTCTCTGAAGCAATATTTCCATTGTCCTCAGGTTCTTTTCCTGCTCGTTTGCTTCTCTGACTACTGATGTCTTAGCATCGCTGAGTAGCTTCTCGATTCCTAATCTCACTCTTTCTCTCTTTCCCCCCTCTCTCCCCCCTCTCTCTCTCTCTCTCTCTCTCTCTCTCTCTCTCTCTCTCTCTCTCTCTCTATATATATATATATATATATATATATATATATATATATATATATATATATATATAATCAACTGTCATCATTTATGTCTATGTTGTTAGAAGAATGAAAGAAAGAATTAGAGGAAAACAACGTGAGGAGATTCTTGACCTCCTTTTGTCCTGACATCGAGAGATGTGTTAACACACGAACTTATACACGTTTGTTGAAGATCACAAGCGTCAAATAACCAACGCCAGTTGACACGGTTTTTGACGACGACTTTGATGATGATGATTGATTCATCCAAGCACACATATTTATAATAATGATGAACTACGATAATTTCAGAGACAAGATTGTCTACTGGCATATTTTATTCTTTTGTAAAGTGTGCATATAGAGTACGGAGATGAATTAGCTTGAAATGCAGTACAGTTAGACAATTACAATGAATAACTCAATCAATCGGCAAACGGAAGGAATCGAATTGACAAGAAATGTGTTCACACCGGATGAACTATGCGGCCTTCAGAAGAAGACTCCACTGATTTTTGCATTCCAGGATTCAGTTTTCTAATGATCTTGTTACCTCCTATTTGTTATAACGAGGAGTGGCTGATCGAGTAACTAGAACGAAGCGTTGTCAGATGGAACATTCATGTTCGAATCATCCGTAAGGTGATGCATTTAGTATTTCTGTCAGGGTAAACAAGAAGAAAAATCCAAACATGCACAGTGTGTGGCGACTGCACTAGCCAGGCGGCACTAAATCCTCAGGCTGAAGTGACATTGTCTTACACAGCCTCAAACCTCGTACACCTGGCATAAAACATTTTAAGCATGTTCTAGGAGAACAGGAGCGGGGGGGGGGGGGGGGGGGGGGGGGGGGGGGGGACTGTGCTACAAGTGCCAGACTTAGACACTATCAAAGGCTAACTTACACAAAATTACACCTGTGAAATGAGATGCCTGAAAAAATCTGTCATCTTAACCATCCTAGGCAAAGTTATAAATGGTACTATCATACACTAAGCAGAAAATCCACTGAGAAACAGAATATCAGATGGTTTTACCAATTAGTTATAATGTAGCCAGAGCAACTAACAACGCAAACGCTACACATAAACTGATCTGAAGTGAAATCAAGAGGGCGCTCTAAGAGAATATGGATAGATGACACTAAAGAGTTTCTACAATGACATATAACTCTTCTATGAAACTACCTCTGAAGCGGTGCACTGGTGCTCAGCTACAGCTAGAGCTGATCTTCTGTTATTCTCTCTGCGGTACTGTTGGCCACAGACTTGTTCTTGTTGTTGTGCATGTCAAACTCAGGGGCGTCATCAATGGGAGAATGTGGGTCCAGCTGTAGCTCATGGCGGGACAAGTGCTCCACAACAGCCGCTCCGAAACTGTCGCCCAGGATGTTGGTCGCTGTCCGGAATCTGTCCCTGGGGTTCAAATGGCAAATAAAAGCATCATTATTGTTTACAAATCAACCAGACTAATTAAAAAAAAAAAAACAGAAAACGCAATAAAGAGTTTTTTTTTTTTTAAATGGGTACCAGGTAAAATCTTGCGAAGTACAGGCATGACATAAACCACATCACCCACCTAGTACCAACCTGATCTTTAAAATATAAGTTTAGCCCTATTTGTCCAACACACACTAAAGTCTGGAAAAGTATATTTTTCATTTTTTTTAAAAACCTAATAAGAGAGTTTTAACATATCGGCTAGATTAAACACGTTAAGTACTCATTTTTCATATATCATCAAGATAAAAACATAAAAAAGGAAGATTAAAGTAAGAAGAGCAAAGGACCATGGTCACGCCTTTGTAGCACCGGGAAATTGATGTCAGACCTAGACAGGGTCGTCTAGAAGAGTTGCTGGGAATTTTCAGCTTTTATTGTAAATGAACATTTTACATATGGCGTTTTAAAATGTTCAGAACAAGTTTAGTTTTGCGTGACCTTGTGTGACCATGACGCTTCAAAAAGCGCTGAGAAAAAAGGCCTTAAAGAGAGGGTCACTGCAGCAATTGCAATTTTAATAATCGGTGCAAATCAGAAGACTAGTGTGCGAGATTGAATAACGTCTATAAATCACAAATGGCCCCATATCAAAGTGTACTATAGTTTAAAAAAAAAACACTTAACACTTTTCTGAACATTTTAAGACACCACACATGTATATCCATGAAATAGTTCTTTTCAAGAACAGTTTAAAATCCCGGCAATCATTTTTTGAAGAGCCTGTGATATTGAAGACCAATGAGCACTCGGTGGGTAAGGTCTTTAACGTCTCTCCTGTCGCCTTTGCTTTCAGAGACATGACCTGGTACCCGTGTCAGGCTAGGTCCGACTGCGACCAAGTTTAGTTTTGAAAGAAAAAAATCTTTGTGTAGATTCGAACCATAGACTACCAATGTGGTTTAGATATCTACAAGCAGTTTTGCGTTTATCTTAAAAGTACGTCTCACTCTTATGTTGTAGTTTACAGCTAGGTTGCGATATCGGCGCTTTTCGACCCTTCACAGCCCATATGGGCAAATCCTTACTTAGAAATGGCATTGATTCTCCATATCTGCCTATAGAGCTGACGTCGACAGAAACTTTGACAGAGAGTTGCCAGACACAAAACTTTCTTTTATGCCAAACCGTTACCCAAAATATACCAGAAAATGTCAAATAAAGTGTAACATTTTACTCCCTTCACATCAAAAGCGCTAGATTGAATTCTTAACTGTTATCCTCACTGGAACAAGTGAAAGACACAGCGTAAACCTTTTTGAATGTAAAATCTTTAAGCATTTTCTCAGATGGGATGAAGTTTTTGCAATTCATCTATAATGATGGCATATTTCTTGTTCCGAAAATCATCCTTAAGTGCAGGAAATATAGTATATATATATATATATATATATATATATATATATATATATATATATATATATATATATATATATATTTTAATTAGGCATGAACATTTAGTTTTATGCAATGTATGAGCTTCAATGTACCCCCTCAACCATGTGCTCTCCTGATTTCACTTAGATGACCAATTGTGCGTATTGCACAATGGCAGGTCATGCTTACAGCAAGTTGCAACTCTGCTGTCTTTAACTGTATCATTACTTTGCCTAGGAGTCATTGTTCTTATAAGCTGTGACTGGCTTTTTGAGTTTTCATCCTGTGTTTTTCGGATGATTTCATGATTTGATAAGCTACTAATTCTTGGTGCAAGATTTCACTGACACAGTTTACAATCTGTTGCCTCTGATCCGTCTGAAGATCTTTTGAGCAGTGGGTATGTTTTCTTCCAGTTACTATTATACTTGCGATGTCGCAAAATGCTTTCCATTTTTGGATGACGTGGCCATTGGTAAAAAAGTAATAAAATCTATCACAGATAGAACTAGGTCTATATCCTCTCTATTTTCTGTCCTCGAGTAGTTTCCGAACAGTCTAAATCATTTTATATCAGTGGTGAGTTTTGGTTTTATATCCCGCATTTATTTTAGTAGATGAACATAAATAACAGAGGGCCTACGTTTATCGAAGTCACGATCCGTTTAGAAAGACAACAAATACAATAAGAAATGGCGCGTATCTCCATTAGTCAGTACCAGGACATCACAACAAAGTCAAACTGAAATAAAGATGTTAACTATAGGTCTACATTGCCAGGAAAAAACCAAAATATGCCAAAATATGCAAGTTCATTATCTTATGCCAGTTCAATTTCAAATATGCCAGATTTGTGGAATATGGCATAAAAAATGCCAATATGGCAACCCTAGGTGACAGGAAATAGAAAACAACATGCCAACTTACAGGAACCAATCGACAGCCAGGATCAGGCTGATGTCGTCTGCCGGAATCCCAACGGAGGTCAGCACCATCACCATGGTAACCAGCCCTGCACTGGGGATAGCTGCTGCTCCGATGCTAGCGCAGGTTGCTGTCAGACTGTCATCACAGGTGCCGAGCACAGTAATTGAAAGAGAGTCAATATTCAAAGTAGATCATGAAAGAATCAAGGATAATAATAGTTATTTCAGAGTTTTTCATCCTATTCCATTCTATATATTTTTTTTTAAATCGAAATTTCGAGCACGTTCAACATGTTGAGCTGCTAACTGTCTCTGGTTATATTTCTGGTCTGGTTTATTTGTGCCACTTGAGTGGCTAAGACTGAGGTAAGTGCGCCAGTTGTCTGACTTTATGTTTCTTTCCTAGTAGCAAGACGGTTTCTTCCTGTCTGTGTCCTTATCCTTATCTCCCTGATGTTTGCCTCATGGGTCATCTGCCGTTTTGTTCATTTTCCTTGTTTTTTTGTGCAGTGTGTTCCCAAATATGTTCCATTCTAGTTTGGCCAGGCGTATCTCGTAAGATACACCAGCTAGACTGATTGACAATCAACCCTACCAGGACATCGTACTGAGCGGTAAACACCCGGTGACACAAAGTGCCACCCTTCGGATGAGGATCACAAGTGGAGAGGTCCCAGAAACCCCGTTCAACCCATAGATGGGGCTTACAATAACTAAAGATTCGTCTCTAGGGGGAAGAACTTAGACCGACCAAGTTTGCAACTATTCTCTACACAACGTCCTTTCGGAACACCATTAAATAGTTTTAAAATTTTGAATATTTCACTTAACCAAAAGTACTTAAAAACAGTTGTTGGGTTGGGAAAATCTAAGATATTGAAAATAATTCGCGTATGATCAAAGCGATCTTATAGATATCTTCCTGTAATAAGAGCAAGTTAGTCACATAATAATGACGTGGAAGAAATGGTTGATGAGGTCTAATAATGATTCTAGATATTTTAGAGTAGGGTTTCATAGATCTCAAATGAGAGGGAAAATTAATGATAGTTAAAATTAAAATAGATCCCCCCGACGTGTAAAATGGAATGCAGGTTCAGAAAAGCTACATAAGAATAGAGTTATGAGCCGACATCACAGCACTCAGGACATTCCCATAGCCGCTCTGTTCCGATCTTCAGCAGCCAGCGTAGAGTTTTAATTCCTATAGACCGGTAACATTCTGACTGTGTCAGATTCGCCCTCATCTTTCCCTGAGTGTTGAGCTTCGTTCAGATCTCCCATGGTTACTCCGCAATGCACGATTCTCCCCAGACCGTGATGCTCTGCTTGTCCTTTCACACTGTTCACTTGCTCCTAAAGGGCCCTTACATCTAGCTACATGTAACCCCCCCCCCCCCCCCCCCCGTCTAATAAGTTGAACTGGAGTGGATAAACAAAACAGTTAAATTAGTCTCAGTCATTACAGAAGTTATAGTGTGTTATTTCATCGTAACTGATTAAATCGTCTATGGCGTTGCGAACGAGCTTCTTAATGGTGGGGGGCCGGGTTCGGTCCCAGCTGCCGACCTTGTGCCTTGCGTTTTGTTTCGACAGTTGTATTGAGAAACCGACCGACAGAAAGTAATAGCAAACTACTAGACTCAAATTTGCCTATAAAAACCGCAATAGAAAAAAAAATAAAGAAAATAAATAAAAAGCAAATTTATAAAAAAAAAATTAAAAAAAAAAAAAAAAAACGCTAGGGTTGGTTCTGCAATGTCTTGTAAAGGAAACGCAACTCAAGTTTTAGCTGATTTAAAATTAAAAAATATTAAAGTAAACTTTCGTACTGTTTAAATAGGTAAAGGGAAACCGGGAGGGGGTTTTGGATGGAAACTGACGTCACCATAGTAAAGTGGTTAAGATATTTGACTTGTGCCCTGGAAGTTGTTAGCCCCATTTCGGATTCCATCCGTCGGTTCCAGAATGCGGGTGTTCGGGAGATTCCAAGAGGTCGTTGCTGTAGCTATGCAGTTGGTGCATTGTGTAACACTCTTACCGGTGACCAAACGCTATGCGAAGCTATATAGGATAAAATCTTTAGCAATTAATCTGATTTTCTCGCATTTGATCTGTAATAAATAACAATGTAGTTTTCTTCTCAAAAACTAGCTCTGACCTGGTCCACACGGCAACAAGATACCGCCACTCTAATAAAAAAAATATATATACAATTCTACAAAAAGGAAAACAAATTCAAAGAACACCATAGATGAGTAATAAACAAATGTGATATACACTGTAGGATAACGTGAATGAATGTTAAATTACGAACTGACATTACAGCACTCGGGGCACTCCCATAAGAGCCCCGTCCCCATCTTCAGCAGCAAGCGAAGAGTTCAAATTCAGATGGCACCAGTAACTGTTTGATTTTATATCCGTCTCGCTCTTCCATTAAGTGTTGACCGTCGGTCAGATCCACTGGTAACTCCTCACAGCGTCATTCTTCTCCGACCATAACAATCCATTTGCGCTTCCACACTGTTCGGTCGCCTCCAAAAGGCCCTCACACCATCTAGCTTGTCATACATCATTTCACCTCCAAGTGGTGCAGAAACGGACAGTCTATCTTCCTACTCGTTTCCCAACACACCGTCATATTGGAGAAAATATCCAAATGACGCTAACCACAGAGGACCTCTGAAGCGATACTTGCCACTCTGCACGGAGCATGCCTGTCTCCACATTTCTAAAAATGCGCTGTGAGTCGGTAACAGTGACAACATGTGTGTACAGCTGATTCTCAAGATAAGGATCAAAACGACAAACAATGATTAGAAAACGCTACTTTAGATCGTCAAGATTATGTAGGCCCGTTGTGAGGAGAAACGTACTTAACATCATATCGACCGTGGACAGACCTGATAGCAAGTGTACAAGAATAATTCAACGAAACGATGGTTTAACTGTCCAACACAAGTGAGACACAAACACCACCCTAAAACGACACTGTGGCGACAGTGTTAGCTAAGGGTACATAATTACCAATGATTATTGGCATGGCACTTGATGATGACACCCCTTGTGTTTACTGAAGCCAATTCTGCTTCCCTTCCTTTTCGGTGCCCTCTTCCTGTTTCATGAGTTTCTACTGTCCAGTCGTGTTATAAATATTTCTTGGAGAGACCTCAACTACAGATAAGTGATTTTGTGTTTTATTGTCGGTAATCGTATCAATGTCTGTTTGTAGCATATGCTGAGGAAGGTACCCTAACCGCAAAGTTCATTAATCGTTTTTAATTGCGAAAATGTGAAGCTGAGTGGATATACTTCTCCTTTGGTTTCATATATTTTTATGGTTCTTCGTTGAAATAATAAAGACATCAGAACAAAACAGCAACATGAGGATGATACTAAATATCTAGTTAATGCGAATGAAAATAAACCGGATATACCTGATGGCGACGATCTTGCCAAAGGTGAGCTCCATACCGTTCATCTGTGCGATAAAAATGGGAGCCACAGCCTCGTATAGAGCGGTCCCATCCATGTTGATTGTGGCCCCTATCGGCAGCACAAAGCGGGTGACCCTTTTGTCAATGTGCAGCTTGTCTTCTAGACAATGGAAGGTCACGGGCAGGGTTGCTGTGCTGGAAGACACAAGTATAGCGTTACACACACGTGTCCTGTACATAACTTTCTTACTTTCTTAGCAAACACGAGAACGACACATTGATTTACAATGGATCATGTTATTATTGTCATGTAGCAGGTCCTTTGCAGAACTCCACTCTCAGGACCAGCATATTCAATTTCCTCTTTTTGCCTATAGTGACGTGGGGAGGAACAGTTTGGGATCCATTGCTCGATGGGTAGCGATGGCTGTTGACGTTCCGTATCGACGTAGAAGGTCTTTAATGCCATCAAACCATTTTCTGCTAAGACGACCTCTTGCTTTCACGTCAGATCTTTTGATATGTAGCGCCTGTATTCTAAGGAGACGACCAAATCATTTGGTCTTCTGTTTCTCAATGGTAATATTTCCACAGTCTGTGTGATAGTATCATCTCTCACTATCTTTCAATACCAGACACCATAAAACCACTCGTTTCAATGTTTTACCTGCACAGGACCACAACTTACACGTAGATGCATTAGCCATTCAGGGGCCGTAACTGCAACTTCTTTAGAGGTTGAAACACTTATATGGGATCTATCTTCTTGGTCTGCTGTCCATATTAAGATGTTTTAATCTCAATATGGTATGATCAACCTTTAAGTAGCAGACTGGAGGGACAATCCGACTGATCACTCATTTCCCTGCGAACTGTCCCACCTCATGAATTTCCCAGCAGATGATGTATTTGATATCTTGTGATTAATCCCTGGATTACATAATCTTCAAACAAATAATTTGAGAACACAATGATTTACCTAGAAGCCGTCCCAAGGGCAGTAACCCATGCTTGTACAACACCCCACATAATCCGAAAAGGGTTCTTCCTGGTCATGACGAAGTAAATGCTGGGCAGCACGGCTAGGGTGTGGATGGTCAGCCCCAGCAGGATGGTCACCATGTACATGCCTAGCTGCTGACCCACCTTTGCTGGATCCTCCAGTTGGAGGATCTTGCCTGTGATGAGAAACATGATGCCAACCGGGGAATACCTGAAACAGAAGAGAATTTCTTAAGGCAACTAAAACTGTCTGAGCCGCGAAGACATTGCTTGTGTCAGGTTCAAATTAAAACAGACAGGAGACTTACATGAGACAATTCATTGACGACCGGGTTGCCCACTGGCTCGCCGGTGGACGACTTAGCCGCCGGTCGGGACAGTATTTGGGTCTGTCACCTTTGATTGCAGCGACACGGCGGGAGTGATTTTCCCGGATACTGGTGGCGTCCAATTGGTAAGCTATTTTATATGGCGCGCATGACCTAGTCACAATTATAACCTAAGCTCCCCCATTTGCGATGCTGATTGTGCGTGACTATTTTTTTTTCGAGCAAAGCAAGAAAACGAGATGAGGCGGTTGAGAATCGCATAAGGGAGGTAAGAATTTTGCGACAGGTAACATTTGTATGAGACGGGTAAAAATGTTATGAGGCAATTGAAAACAAAGAATGTGAGTAAGGCTAGCATTGAATGAAGAAGTGTGATACAGTTATGAGGTAATATAGGGCTATAGCAGACATGCCAGAATTGTATTATGTGTGAGAAATGCATACGATTTTTAGAGCACTGAATGAAACCAGTAAAACTATTTGTTTGACGTGACGGAGTCTGAAGTAAAAAACCCCTACATTTTTCGGTACGTAACTACTTCCGGTCAAAATGGTCACTGTTTTAGTCGCGGCAAATTTGTTTTTATTCTGTCGGACTGTTTCCGTTGCATTTTCTTCCATTTGTAGACTGAAATGATATAGTTGTATTTTTTTAAAAGTTTGGTAGGTTTTATTAGAGGTTGGCCAACTTCATCATTTATAATTTCTGTTGGGTTGTATTCTTCATTCCTGTTTCTCATGCCTTTGATTTTTTTTAGTAGTTTTTCACTGCTGTTCTTTCTTCTTCAGACAGCTTGCTTCCAAACTTTTCCCATGAATCTCTTTTTGCTTGTCTGATAGTTCTATTTACTTCTCTTCTAATTATCCTATATGTTATGTAATCCTCTTCTGTTCTGCTCCTCAGCCAAATGCCGTAAGCTTTCTTTTTATTGCTTACGATTCTTCTTATTTCTTCAGACCACCATGTTGACTAATGTGGTGTAGATCCAAAAGACAGCGACTGGCCTTTTGCCACAGAGATGGTGGGGCCTAAGGAGATTAAAATTAATGGCGTTTGCACCTGCTGATCTGTTTATAACTATTGCTTCCGTCCATGATAAACTGCATTTCTAATTTCAGACTGTTTGTGTTAGCACTTCTGATGACTGCCTTATTCTGTTAATGCGGGGCCCTATATAACCCGCTTGTAGATATGCTGAGAGTGCAGTCGGTGTAAATTTTCGCAGAAAAGGACAGGGATGGACATTTTGTGTTTTTCGTTGGCACAAGAGCGAAGCAAACATGGGATGACACGTTTGCCATGAAGCTGAAACTAAGATTACCAAGATTACCAGACGGGTATGTGACAATCATCTCCATGTTGAAGGGGTTGCTGCCAAATAATCTCACAGATCGTGAGGGAAGCAACAAACAGTAGCACTGCAGCCTAACGTTTATGTAAAAAAAAAAAGGGATAAGAAAGGCTGGTGTGAAACTGACTGCTTCATGCTGTACAAATGTAAATACAAAATCAAACTTTTCATGAACATATTATACATTCGTTGAAGGCTTATGCTCCAGTTTGAGATTAATGACGACAACCACACAAGAAGATTTCATCGTCATAATATTAAAAAGATTTATGTGATAAGTAAATGGAGGGAACCAGAAGTAACGACTCACCACATGGCAAGGAAGACCATTTTCATGATGATTTCATTGAGTACACCGAAGAATTCAATCATGATTTTACCCTTGGCTCCCATGTTGCTGATAAGGATGCCGAAAACTGTGCAGAATGTGATGATACCTGCAGAAATGGAAAGCTGTCAAATCTGATGGTATAAGATGTGATAAGATGTGTTGACAACTTTAAACAGTATTTCTGAGCTATTGTAAGTTGCGTGCCAAACAGTGAGTTTCAAAGACCTGACTCCAGGGACGACCCTCATGAAGTCCCAGAACCGCATAAAGAAGAAGACCAAGAAGAGGAAGGAGAAGAAGAAAAAGAAGGAGAAGAAGGAGAAGAAGAAGAAGAAGGAGAAGAAGAAGAAGAAGAAGGAGAAGAAGGAGAAGAAGAAGAAGACAATGACCACAACGACGAAGTGATCAAACAATTACCAAGCACATTGACTCCATCAGCCATCGGATATATCCGAACCCATTTCTTAACCTCCTTTTGAATGAAAACAACCGTTTCATTAGTTGTGTTAGTGGTGGTGGTCTGCGTGGTGGTGGTGGTGGAGGCTGTTGTGGTCGTGTTGAACTGGTTCAGCAGGTCAGAGATGTTGGGCTTTGTCAGAATGTACTCCTCGGGCTCCTCCATGGTATAGACGGTCTTTGTGTGCTGGAAGCAAGCTTGCAGGATGTTGCTCGGGAAAATATTTCTGAAGGGGTAAGCAAATTATTGAATGATTTACTGTCCAACTGACTGAATCACTAGAAAAACACAAGAAATCACTTTCAAATGAAAATTACGTAAGAATACTAAAGGGTTTGCTTGATTACACAAGGAGGGTCTGAGTCAAGTGTAAGAATTACGTAGCACTAGTAAGGATTCAAATGTATGCACACTAGAGTCAAATGTGTTTATTCATGTATGGGTACATTCTGTGATTTTTATATATAACCGGGAAAGCTGCCTGATCTTTCACAATGCAATAGGAATAAACTCACAGGGAGCAAGTACAGCAGGGATCTACCAGTCGTCAGTAGAAATTATCCTCGTCAACGAGCGTTTCGGCCCACGATTCCTAGACGCTTTCGGTCAACTCTCAAAATGTTTATTCGGGGATTCCTGTATTCCCCTTGTTGTTCAATGAGTTGAGACGTCTAGTCGACTCCTCCCGATTTCCGATTCGAGTGTGCCATCTCTTCCTTGTGAAAATTCCAACAGAACTGAAGAAGTTTGCACTAGCCGCCGTAATGTAGCAGCTAGACGTTCACTCCCCAGCGGATGGGAAGGTTGCGTGTTCAAGTCCTGACGGAAGCGAACATTTTTCCAAAAATTATCTTGGCTCCCAAGTTGACCCAGCCTTACACGCCACCAGATAAAGTCCTGGGAAGAAACTGTGGCCTGCGTGATACTAACCACACCACCCACCAAGTGATGATTGGCCTGTAAACTATAGGTCTAGCCCTATTTGCCCAGTACGGATAAAGACTTGAAAAAGGGTCATTTACAAAAAAGTTTGCGAGCTATATTTCGATGAGCTACTCCGCATCTGTCATTGTCTGGGGCTTAGGCGTTGCGAACGCGCTTCGTAACGCCGGGGTGTCGTGTTCGATCCCATCTGCGGAATGTTTGTCTTGCGCTGGTTTTGACAGTGCCGTTCAGGTAGCAATGACAAACTGCCGAACGTAATATTTGCCTAGAAAAACCACAAAAGTCAAAGACGGTTTGGTACTGCAAAGTCCTGTATAGAATACGCAATTACCTAACTCAGTATCGTGAATATTTAGTATAATTGATTTACTCTGATCGATTAGTGCCCTCAGAACACACCCACAAGTGTCAAGCGAGGGCCATTATTTATTCGATTGCTCTAACATATAATCTTACCTGAGTAGATCCATAAAAGCATCTACAGAAGTAGGTGTGTGTTGCTCTTTGACACTCCGACGTCGGACCCCGAGATCATGCTCCCCTGGATGAATTGCCAGCACCAAAATAATTCCCAGAATAATGGCAATGAATGTAGTCATGAAGTAATAGACGATAGCACGCAGACCCATCCGTCCAGAGTTTACTGGGTCTAGAGAAGCCAGTCCTGAGGGGGAAAACGACATTAAACAACATCATCATTTTTATATTTGCCTGTTAGTGGTCCCAGCTGAGTGGCAACTGGCATTAATATATATATGGAAAAAGAAAGGTAATAGGAGAGAATGTGAAGCATACAGAGGTATATCACTACTGAGTCACGTAGGAAAAATGTACGCTAAATTACTAGAACAGAGAGTTAGACCCATAGCAGAACAACAGCTGAGTGCATCACAATTCGGTTTCAGAAAAGGCAGAGGATGCACAGATGCATTATTCACTCTAAGGCAAGTGTGTGAGAAAGCCATTGAGTATAATACCAAACAGAATATTGTGTTTATAGATCAGGAAAAAGCTTTTGATAGAGTGGAAAGAAACAAACTGTGGTCTGTTCTTGAGAACTACGGGGTTCAAGGACAGTTACTAGAGAACATCATAGCCATGTACCACACAAGCTAAAGTGCAGTAAAAACACAAGAAGGCATATCAGATATGTTCACAGTCAACACAGGTGTGAGACATGGATGTGTGCTCTCCCCACTTTTATTTAACATCTATATTGACAGAATATCTAAACAAGCAAGTTATGATACAGACAACATAGACCTTTATAATCACGAGGAAGTACATACATCAGGAGAAGTAATCGATTCACCCACATTAAACGAACTACTGTTTGCTGACGACCGGTGCTTGTTCTACCCTGAAGAACATAGACTGCAAGACCACATTAACAGGTTAAACTCAGCATGTAGTAAATACAACATGAAGATCAATGTAAACAAAACCGAAACAATGCAAGTTAGTAGACATTCTGCCCCACTACACATACAGCTGAATGGTTCTGTCCTGAATCAAGTTAGAGAGTTTAAATATATAGGAAGTATGATCACAGAAGATGGTAGAATTGACAGAGAAATAGAAACCAGATGTCAGAAAGCAAGTGCACTTATGTACCAGTTGTCACCATTATTAAGACATCCAAGCATAACTATGAGTGCAAAGAGACAGATTATTAATAGCATATTTATTCCAACATAAAGCTACCAGTGCCAAACATGGACACTATCTAAAGCCCATATACGCAAAATTACAACCTGCGAGATGAGGTGCCTGAGAAAAGCAGCCAACCTAACCATACGAGATAGAGTGAATAATGAAACTATCAGGCAAATTGTGGGAACAACACCTTGTACTAGATTCATCGAGAAACAGCAGATCAAGTGGTTTGGCCATCTCGTTAGAATGCAGCAAGATCAAATACCATCACAAGCACTACATCTCAGAAGATCAACTACAAGAGCAAGAGGACGGCGGCGGAAAAAAATGGATCGACAACATTAAAGACACTCTACGCCTTTACGGCATGACAATAGCCAGTGGCAGACAACGTGCACTGGATCGCAAATTATACCTCCCCACGTCGCTTAACGGCAGAAGTGGTTCATGATGATGATGATGATGATGATGATGAGTGGTTAATTTCTGTTTTTAAGTGTCTACTGATTTTTATTTCATCTCTCCCTTTCTATTTCCTATAGGTTTTTTTTATTATAACTTCTATTGTTGCTTTTTGGAGACATGTATTACTTTCTGTATTTTTCTTATGTGACGACATTTTTACATAAATTTATATTGTTTTATTATGTAGACATTTGTTATTTTAACTTCTGTTTTTCTCTTGCGTAGACATTTGCTGCTTTAACTTCTACTGTTCTATTTTTCTCTTGTGTCGAAATTTGTTACTTTAACGTCTGTTTTTCTCTTGTGTAGACATTTGTTACTTTAACTTCTGTTTTTCTCTTGTGTAGACATTTGCTACTTTAACTTCTACTGTTCTCTTGTGTCGACATTTGTTACTTTAACTTTTATTGTTATCTTTAGTCGACATTTGTTATTTAACTTCAATTGTTTCTTTAGACGACATTGGTTACTTTAACTTCTAATGTTTTCTTGTGTGGACATTTGCTACTTTTACTTCTATTTTTCTCTTGTGTCGACATTTGTTACTTTAACTTCTATTATTCTCTTTAGTCGACATATGTTACCCTAACTTCTTTTCTCCTGTGTGGACATTTGTAACTGTAACTTATATTGTTCTCTTTTGTCAACATTTGTTACTGTAATTCTCATTATGATATATTTGTTACTGTCACTTCTATTGTTATCCTGTGTCAACATTTGTATCTTTAACTTCTGTTGTTCTATTCTGTCGACATTTGTTACTGTAGCTTTTAGTTTTCTTTTGTGTCGATATTTATTACTGTAGCTTTTAGATTTCTTTTGTGTCGACATTTGTTACTGAAGTTTCTAGTGTTCTCTTGTGTCAACATTTGTTACTTTAACTTATATTGTCCTCTTTGGTCGACATTTGTTACTTTCAAGTCTGTTGGTCTATTCTGTTGACATTTGTTACTTCGACTTCTATTGTTCTCATGTGTCGACATTTGTGACTTTAACTTCTAATATCTAGTGAAGACATTTAATACCTTAACTTTAATCCCTTCACCTGTATCGATATTTGATTCTTCATCATATATTATTTATCCCGTGCCCAAATCTGGTAATTTATCTTTTATTTTTCTTCTGTTTAGACTGTTTGGATTTTTACTGCTGTTAATTCGGTTGTTCAAATATTACCTTAACTTCCTATCCACATATTTGTTTCTTTAATACTAATTATACTATTTCTGAGATATTTGTTAACTGTAAGTATTAATCTACTTAAACATGTGTTACTACATTTCCTGGTCCTTTCTGGCAAATTTAATAGGAAAAGAAAGGAATTCTCAGAAAAGTGCCCTGCAATGATAATGCAATTCATGATACTGTTGATGATAATAAGGAAAATAATAATGATGGTAATAATTGTGTTGATGCTTACAGTGATAATGAGAAAGGTAATGATACAAACAACAGTAAAGACATCAATTACCTGTGATCATACTGCTAATGATAAGGGGGACAATCAACATCTTCAGCATGCTCATCAGCATGTCCCCAGGAAAGGAAAGGATCATGATTGTGTCCTCTGATAGATCTGCCGTTCTCAGGGAAAAGCCAACAACGATGCCCAGAACAACACCGGCAACGGTCAGAACCAGAAGGAGATTCTCTCGACACCATTCTGGAGTCTGTATGGTTGCAAGAAAATATACGTCTATAGTGCGTTTCAAAACTAATGCCGTAGCACTAACAAATATATGAAAAATTATGTATGAATAAACGTGAATTTTCAATGTGGCATTTGATTTATCATGTACCTATGATTCTATGATTTACAATTGTGCAAATGCTGCTATTTTCTTAAAGTGGCATATTTCTTCAATCTTTGTTTGATTAATCATTTCTGTAAACCTGAGAAATAAAATATAAAGTAAGTGACACGCGTGTGTAGATTGTTTGTAAATCAATCAAGCGAGCAGGAGGCAGAATATGTAATCTGTAAATATGTCGTTTTGGTGATTATGTGTAGAGGTCAGGTGAAACACCAATGTACAACAACAACAACAAAATCATAGCCACTGAATAGCCAATGGGACACAGTAGGTCCCATCCGAGTGTGGTGTAGCTCGATTGGAGCATAGGTCCTCAACCAACTCACGCAAGTCGTTCTAACCTTTGCTATCGCATACAGCTCTCCCCACATATTTCCTATCTTTTTAACTTTACTATCTAGCGCCCTTCTTCACGTGATTGATTGACTAGAAAAGTAACTATTGTCGGCTCTTTCTGTCCTGAACTTACAGCATAAATACAAGACAGGCATGCTCCAGCTGGACCGGTTCCAGGTATTAGCTTTACTGTCGCAGTTCTATCTTTGACACCCATCATTGGTTCCTCGGCCCCGCCCACATCAGCCATGTTGGCTTAGGGTTAGGATGTGGAGGTCAAACAGATATTTGCAGAAATGCAAGGTCTTGCACATGAAAAATAAAAATAAATAGTTAAACATATTAAGAAAACAATATACGCTGATCATTAGTATAAAATGGTTGTTATAAAACTATTTTTATTTTCAAAATTCTTGTTTCAAATAGTTCCATGTGGTAACATACTGGCTTGACATTTGGACTCTTTGAATATATTGCCAATCTTATAGAAGAGTACTGTCACTGTGGAAGCCGCCTGAGTCTAGGGGCTATACGCTCCGATGCGGATCTGAACCACCTTGGCTCCCTGGTTAATCCAACCTTAAATGGATACTAAGTAAAATTACTGGGAAGTAAAAGCGGCCGGTGTTACGTTGACCACATCATCAACCGAGTTCCGATTGGTTTATAAAATATGTTCCTATCACCATATGCCCTTCCACGACTGATATATGTACATTTTAAAAAGTTTACTCGTTCGCTCTTTACCCTTGGCAGAGGCCAGTAGTCCACCCCCCCCCTCCCCCCTACTATATTTGTTGTAGCAATGTTTCCATTGACGATATTTCAAACCCCGGCTCTATATATTTTCCCGTGTGCGATTTCAATGTTAATGACCTTACTGACATTTGACATCAGCTTCTCCATGACAGTAACCTTTGACCCATACAATCAACTCTTCCTATAAAGGTCATGCACCGGTGTGGAGACTGAAAGTATCATAGAAAAATTGGACGTCCCGGCCAGCAACTGAATGCACTCAACAATTTCTGGTGGATTTGTCGTCTGCCGAGGAAAATGTTCATTGAATCGTTACCACTAGTGTGTGTAATACGAGGTTAGATATGAGGAACCCAACATCCCCCTCCCCCCATCCCGGTAGCGTTTTAGAACTTCCTGCATCAGAGTTGAGTCCGACTACTCATCCAAGGCTTGTGGTTCATTTATCCTCGTATGCGACAGTACGACAAAGTTCTGACGGCCAAATACAAACAAATCGACTTCAAACCACACTCTTCAAACAGACAGATAACAAGTGCAGACTCTCAATTATCTCCCTTATATAGGAAACGCCCACATAACCGCGACATTTGTAACCTGGCTGGGTCCACTAGACAGGAGAGGAAAGCCACCTATTATTATGATATTACTAAGAGATAACGAACTTTTCAGGACATCTGATTTTGCTGGCTGTTATCTGGGAGATGAGAAATGTATACTGACGGAATGGCAGAACGCAGTTATCCCAGAGTGTACCGATAACCAGGGTTGTCTCCCTGTCTGCATGGGGACTACGGTGACGTGGATTACTGAGTGTGGGAAATGTCACATATTCGGGATTTTTATCATCATCCTCACTATCATCATCATTCGATACCCTCTCCGCCTCATCATCATTATTATCATCATCGTCACCATAATTTCAGCCAGGTTGTTTGATAACGATAAGATAGGCTTTAAAGTGTGCGTCGTCGCCGTCGTCGTCGTCATCCTTATCATTATCATCATCATTCATCATCATCACGAAGCGGTTCCTTGTTAGAACGTCGCTCTCCTCACTAGACGTCTGAAAGACATTCCGCTCTGTGCCAACTGTCCCGCCTCGCCAACGTCCATGCCTACAATAAAAAGTGAAAGAACCCTTTCCACGCCTTTGGGCATATTGGGCATTTAGGACTAGACCTACATTTTACAGAGCATCGGCACTCAGCAGGTGATGTGGTCAACATCACGCCGGCCGCCTTTACTGCCCAGGACTTTACTCATTTAAGGCTGGGTCGACCTGAGAGCCCAAGCAATGTTTGAAAATAGTTTGACTCCGTCAGGAAGTGAACACACGACCATCAGATTCACAGGCGAGCGTCTAGCCGCTTCACCACAGTGGCTCCTGATTTGTGCCTAGGGTGTCCTTGACATCCTGAGTCTATAGTCGTACTGGTCGTCACTGCCGTTGTCTCCCAACAACTACAGCCTCTATTACTTTTCTTTCCAAACATTCACGATGTTTAATATGTCCGAAGTACTCTAGCCTACAGGTAATCTGGTAATCTGGTAATTTTAGTTTCAGCTTCATAGCAAACGGGTCACCACATAGTTGCTCCGCTCCTGTGCCAACGAAAAACACACAGAATGTTTATCACAGTCCCCTGTGGAAAGACTGACGAACTGCTGTCTCAGCAATTCTAGCATACACTCGCATTAAAAGCATATGGTAGCCATCCGAAGTGCTAATACAAACAGTCCGACATTAGAAATGTAGTTCATCATTGATGGTAGCAGAAGTCACCAAAAGATCAGTATTTACACACGCCTACCAGAAACACTGTATAGGTCAGCGCCCCCCCCCCCCTTCCGGCTTTCCCCCTTCCTGATATACACATTGTTACTAATGTCAGTGAAGAACGAAGAGCAACTGTAGGCAGAGTACCGGTAAACGATTTCACAGAAAAGCAAAGAATCTAAAGGTTTGGTCTTCTTGTCATAGTGGAACAGAATTAGCCAGCATCTAGAGCGTACTTCATGAAAACAGCAGGCTACGAGACAGAAGACCGACCTAGAAAGTGTTGGATGGATGGAGTAAAAGAAACACAACAGAAACACAGTATGACAACAACACAAGCAATGTAACTACTATACGAAAGAACACATCTCTCTGCAAAGCTTTGCTGCAACAGACAGAAGATGAATAAACTCAATAGTTTTCATCCTCTCGGTCAAGGGTACTCTTCCTGTAAAATTCAAGTTAAAAAGTACATAAAGAATATTCATAGCATCTGTAATTTTGGCAGACATTTGGATCGTGAGGGTCTATTGAAGATAGGCAGATGCACAATGTAGTATGTAACTCTCGAAGAAAATTCATTTCTCAAGTGTAAAGTTGAAATCAAGAAGATCGATTTCATAGCACATAGTTTTCTTCTTTATATATAGCTCGGTATCTCTCCGCAAAACTATTAGCCGCCAACCGAGAGCCTCGCGCACAGCACGAACACCACTGCTCCGGCGACGATCGCTCGACTACTTCGCTACGGAGACCCTAGCGCCTTACTCTAGTTTGATGTAGGCAGTCCACAATTACCACACATACACACACACAAAAGCGTATAGCTAGAGATCAAATCTCAGTCCATGGCTTCAAACTCTGCACCAAATAAAATATATATCAAAGTGACCTTTAGTGACGCCTGGTGGAGCATGTCTATGCCACTGTTGGGGTCAAGCGAGACGACACTAGAACCAGCCTAGCCAGGTACAGTCAGGGGAGCTATTCTGCCATGGCGGCTGTAACGTGAGACTAAGCACTCAAAGAACTGCCCAATGTCCAGTTATGTCGATAGTTATAATATGACACATGCACTGGAATGTGTAGGGTGAGTGCATGTGGCTTTGAGACAAAACAGAAGTGATCGATACATGTTCGGCGGAAGGTTATGTGCAAATAGAATTTCCAAAGCTATTTGACAGGGATCAGACGAGATTCAGTCAGTAGCGTGTCCCTTGCAGAACCTTGCTTCTATAACACAAACAAGATGTCCCGCATCCGATACACCCATCTAGAGATCATCCGTCACACCCTGCACCCATTTTCTCTTTGGCCTTTCTCTGCCTCTCTTCCTAGGCATATCCCCTCAATTATTGTTCTCTCCAAACTTTCGTGACGTTTCAAGTGACCAAAATATTTCAGTTTTCTGTGTTTTATCTTCTTTAATAGCCAACCTTCTTCAATATTCAGTTTGTGGCGTATGGATGCATTTGTTCTTTTCCTTACCCTCGATATTCTTAGAACTCGTCGATAACATTTGTATTCGAAGGCATTTATGGGCTGTTCAGCTTGTTTAGTCTCACAGGCGTATGTTGCAATGGGAAAGATGCATGCTCTTAGAAATCTAATTGTGTAGTTCTTTCTGTCCCACTGCAGAATTTTTTCAGTTGTTTTAGTTTTTGAAGAGCAACTGATAGTCATCGTTTAACTAATTTTATAAGAGAGACTGAAGTCTACAAGTGATCATGAATAAGAAAACCAAATAAGACCAGCTGGAAACCCTCCCACACTGGACCACACAACCCTCTGCTGTGTTTCAATACACTCGTGCTGTCTGGCTAAAGGGTTGGACAGGCTTTAAGGCATCTGTTTCTTTTTGATTCTTATCCTTGGGATGTTCATCCTACACACACAACCCTGGAGAGGAAAACACAAGAGAGAGAGAGAGAGAGAGAGAGAGAGAGAGAGAGAGAGAGAGGTTTATCCCACACACTGCAACCCTGGAGGGGAAAACACAAGAGAGAGAGAGAGAGAGAGATAGAGAGAGAGAGAGAGAGAGAGAGGTTTATTCCACACACTGCAACCCTGGAGGGGAAAACACAAAAGAGAGAGAGAGAGAGAGAGAGAGAGTGAGGGAGGGAGGGAGGGAGAGAGATAGGGGTTCATCCAACACACACACACAACCCTGGAGGGGAAAACACAAGAGAGAGAGAGAGAGAGAGAGAGAGAGAGAGAGAGAGAGAGAGAAAGAGAGAGAGGTTCATCCCACACACTGTAACCCCGGAGGGAAAAACACAAGAGAGGGAGAGAGAGAGAAAGAGAGTGAGAGAGAGAGAGGGAGGGAGGGAGAGATAAATAGGGGTTCATCCTACACACACAACCCTGGAGGGGAAAACACAAGCGAGAGAGAGAGAGAGAGAGAGAGAGAGAGAGAGAAAAGAGAGAGATTCATCCTACACACTGCAACCCTGGAGGGGAAAACACAAGCGAGAGAGAGGGGGAGAGAGAGAGAGAGAGTGAAAGAGAGAGGGAGAGAGAAAGAGAGAGAGAGAGAGAGTGAGAGAGAGAGTGAGAGAGAGGTACTGTGAACAAGAAGAACTATATACAACATGGCTTATAAGTGGGCAAACTAGCCATTTATAACCATTTCTACAGCTAGGGATGGGAATCTTAAAGGAGACGAGTAATAAAATAAAAAAAAAAAGGACAATTTATTATAGATATTTTGA